CTGGGATTAAAGGCGTGCGCCACCACCGCCCGGCTTTTTTTTTTTTTTTTTTTTTTTTGTTTTTTTTCATTCCACATTTTTACCTTCTCATGTTTATATGTTGGATGCTAAAATTTTTTTTCTTGAGTATTTTGAACATCATGTCTCACGTTCCGTGGTGGTTATTGTTAATTGTCATCTTGAAAGCATATAGCCATACTTAAGGCATGGGCCTCTGGGCATGCCTGTGGGGGATTATCTTGATTACCTTAATTGAAGTTGAAGGCCTGCTCCCTGTGGGTGGGATCATTCCCTGGGCAGGTCCTGGACTGATTAGTCATAGAGGAAGAGCTGAGAAGCAGCTTGCATTTATTTCTTTGTTTCCTGACCTTGAACTCAGTTTTTTAAAGTGATCCCTTTCTCATTTAAGTTTCTCCTGTCAGGGTGTTTTATCACAACAGTTGGAAAATGAAGCTAAAACAGGCCTATTAAAACACACAAACTGCCGGGCTGTGGTAGCTCACACCTTTATCTAGCACTTGAGAGGCAGAAGCAGGCAGATTTCTGTGAGTTTGAGGCCAGTCTGGTCTACAAGGTGAGTTCCAGGACAGCCAGAGCTGTTACACAGAGAAACCCTGTCTCGGAAATACAACAATTAAGAACAACAACAAAGCAACAACAATAACAACATAAAACCAAACAAAACGAAAACACAAATTAATAAGAGAACAACACACAAATTAATTGAAAATAAGCATTTCAGTGACGTGGAAACATTGAAAATGGAGACATAAAAGCTGAGGTTCAACAATGTGTGCTCTGGACAGTCTTGCTGTGCGACGACTGCAGGACAGTAGAAAATGCTTGCACCCCAAAACGTGGGGACAGTCTGCATGGCCTGTTTGTTTCTGCTCTTCTTTACCACTTGGGCTTCTGATATATACGTGAATCAGAACACTTCACTTATAGCAGTCTTCAGAGGAGGAGAGGAGGAGAGGGTCTGAGGGAGTAGTCCTCTAGGTTGTCTTGCCAAAGGTAGAGTGCTCCTTAGGGTAGTGTATACCACCTCTATCATTGCCAGTAAACAACATGGTCTCTCTGGCATCTCCGACATCTCCACTTGTCTTTGACCTTTTGTACAGAAACATGTCAATAGCTCTATCTTGTTAAAAAACAAAAGGCATCCCCAAGACTTCCTCCATTCCTTTTCAGAGTCTATGGAGTCTGCACTAATTCTGTTCTCCTCTCTGATAAGTTTTCTTGTGACTCTAAGTAGACCTGTCACCTTTGGAAGCCATTGGTCTGGTCTTAGAGCTTCTGTGGCTCCTTTGTTCCTAGAGTCCCTTCTCTTGCCTCCACCGAGATCCCTCTACCATTTCAGAGTTCTGATTACTGTTTGTTTCCTTTCTTGTACCTGATGCTTGGGAAGTGCTTCATTGATCTGCCTGTGTCCTTGCTAGCACTGCAGCCACCGATCTTTGTATTCTGTGCAGGCTTTCTGACTCCGCCGAACCTGTTACATCAATTGCTTCATGTATCTCAGGTCTCTGCCTAACACCGCTAGTTCAGTGAAAGCAAACTCATTGGCTGGGGTATAGCTCAGTGGCAGAGCACTTGACCAGCATGCGCAGGGCCCTGGGATCAATTCCCAGCACGGCAACAGAACAAAAACAAACTAACATCAACCAACTCATCAAAGGCTCCAAACTGTTCACTGCCTTCTACCCTGTTCTGCATGTTCTTTATCAAATGCCCCATCTGCTCCTGAGAAACATCCCGAATCACCTTGCGGTTCTGCTGCCTGTTCACTCTTGTTCAACAATACCTATGGTCTTGTGCATACTTCAGAATTTCATGGAGCTAATTGCTTCTATATGGCTTCCCCACTTTACTTTTGCCTGTCATTGACTGCCATTGACTTAGTAGAGCCTTTTCGTTTCTTATCTCTCATCTCCACCCTCTCTTCTCCTGCCCTGACCTCCAGCTACCATTTACTTGGTGTCAGGAAAACTCATTTTCTTATGCTCTTAGGCATCTGCTTGATCTTGTTACTGTCTAGATCCTCATATTCTAAGATCCCAATCATTTTGAGCATACAAACCGAATCCTTAATATTACTTAAGAGTTGGCCTGTACCATTTTTTTTTTTTTCTGGCTGAATTACCTCCGCCCCCAATTCCTGTCACTTAATTATCTAAATTTATCTAAACATAGCATGGTCTCCAGCCATTCAAACTTGTTGAATTGACTGAGAACACCATGTCTCAGTGCCTTCATTGTTAATTCCTTCATCTTGTCAGGTTACACTTGTCTTTCAGATACCACTTCCTTAGTAGCTACTGTTGTGAACATTTGAAGGGGTTGATAATGGTATAACACTTCAAATATGCGAATTTAGCATGATTATTTCTAGCTAAGGTCACATAAGGAAATAGACCTTAAGCAAGGGCCATTTGCCCCATCCCTTTTTTCCCTACCTGTAACAAGCCAAAGAAACTCTTTTGGGAGGAGTATTCTTCGTGTATTAAATCTGAGAAACAGCCTTGATCACCAGAGATGGATAATTGGGGTTTCAGTGAATCTGAACATAAACAAACTCTAAAGGAGCCCTAATCTTCCACTGTCCTCTTCCCTCCTCCGACTCTTGGTAGCATTTCTGGGGATCGTCCCATTGAGCTCTCACACATGTATTGTACTTTGTCTTTGGTCATTATGCTTTACTTTCTTGTTCGAGTCTCTGTGTACATGGAAGATGAGTAAAACATTTATGCTTTTCTTTTGTTAACTAGCTCTCATTATCTGGACTCTTCCATACATTCAAAGAGCCTATGTAAGAACCAAGGGGAGTGGGGATTTGTGTTCCATCTTTCTCCTACAGCTCTTCTTCCAGCCCCTATACCTTCGTATTTAGGCATTAAATGACTCTCTCCAGGCACCAAAAATATTTTCAAATCACCACATTTTCTTATTCTTTTTCTCCTTTGCCCAGACCTAGTTTTAATTCCAACTTGGATTTCTGTCTTTTAGTATTCTTCCTAGCATGTACTAGTGCTTATTGAATGGTGTTACAAATAGAAAATATGAAATTGTTTTTAGTGGTATGTGATGTAACTTAAATGTTATATTCTCTGAATTTCTTCCAGCTTCTTTAATATTTTAAGAAACCAGGTACCAGTTAAAAAACAGTATCAAAAAAGAAGCTTGCCCTTCTAAAGTGTTCTTGACAGCTTGTCAGTTGGGGCAGAGAAGAATGGATGGGTCCTGTTACTTTTCAGCCCAAAAATGAATGGTTCAACTCTGTGAACATCTCTAGTGACAGTGCACTCAGGTGACAAGGTGGCATATAGATGAGATCAATTTGGCATAGATCAGCATTCAGGAATCGAGTGTATTCACATGCATGTACACGTGTGTTCACATTCTCTTTCTCTTTTACTCCCCTGTCCTCCTACCCGCCCCCCCCCCCCCCCAGCTAAGGTATGCCTAGCATTTCTTACTACTTATCAATGTTAGGAATCATATTGAGAGATGATTCATTCTCTCTAGAGTCTAGGACTTACTCAGTAACTGTACATAGCAGTGAAAGTCTGGTTTGAATTAGAAAGTATTGTCTGTAGCCTTTGCTCCTATACAGTAATATCTGATTTTCCTTCTAGTTATAAAAGTGGGCATAGTTATGTTTATCTAATAACAATGGAAGAATATTGATTGGGTTAGTGTTTATACTGTGTTTCATATATGTATACCCATTCATAAATAGCATGAATTGTAATATTAGGATGATAATGATGTAATATTAGGTTCTGTTAATTTTATTTTATGTGGTTTCTTTTTATAGTCATTTACCTTTTTCTTTCCCATTCGTACAGAACTACTGAGAAAATATTTCTCTTGATCTCATTTGTGCTGAAGCATCCTTGGTTTTGATATCTTTTCTTTACTAAACAGTGTGTTTCCCCTGTAAGTCATGACTGTTGCCGATAGGCACTTCATCATCTTTATGATCGACTTTAGTTTTCCTTTCTTCTTCCCACTCTTTATTCTTTTATGTGTTCTTCCAGACATTATTTCAATCTCTTTTTCATGTGGTATTATATTTTCTTTATTCTGTTTCTGAAATGAAGATGATGATTTGATGAATTCATGTCCAAGGAAGAGAAGACACACATACTTCGCTTTCCTTGATTCAGATGCATTAGTTCAAATTCAAACATAAATCATCTCCTAAGCATTCATATTGGGCTCTCCTTATTTCCTTATGTTTTAGACCTGCAGCATGCTGATGCCACATAGGGATGACGTGAAAATCAAACTACATTGGTTAGAATGGTGAACACGGGTGGTTCTCAGCCTTAGATGTTTCTAAGATGCAGTGATATTAATAGTTCATGTTTCAATATACTGACTGCATTACTCACCAGAATGTCTCTGAAAGTGTTTGAGCTTACATACCCAGGGAACAGTTTTCATGTGGAACATTGCTTTGACAACTATGGCACTGGTCCAGTCGGGCAGAACCTCAGTGCTGCCTGGGAAACAGATGCCCTTAGCCTTTGTGTCCTGAGATGTTTGTGACCTTGTGATTTCCAGTGGTTAAAAACTGATGGCATCATTCTACACACTCATTTTATGATCAGAAAATGGAAATGCTGTACTTAGTAACTATTTTCATGAAATTTTGATAAGTGAGCAAATGTTTGCCTCTTGATTCTCAAGTTGCCCCTGTCATTTTTCTCATGCTGATTTGGGGGCCATTCAACACCCAGAAAGGGTGTACACACATGCAAATGTAAGAACCAAATGAAAACAAATAACTCCAACAAGAATAAGTTTTGAAAATAATGACCCCCTGTAATAAAGGTCAGTGGGCTTTTTAGTTTTGTTGTTTTCAGTTTGAAGGTGGAATGGGAACTGGGAGGGAGGATAAAGATTTAACTATATGAAGTGTGTATATAAAATATCACCACATTAGCATTATTGGCAGGAAGTCTGACAGAACTTTCTTCCTTCTGATTCCACAGTATCAAGTCATGGGTGGATAAGATGCAGGAAGACCTTGTCACACTAGCAAAGACAGCAAGTGGCGTGACTCAGCTTGCGGATGTGAGTACTCCCAGTTTGTTAATTCTCTGCTTAGTTTGAATGCAGTTATGTCTTTTAGGAAACCGTGGCTCTGTATTGCAGAGAGTGTATGATTCCTGTGGAAACCGTGGCTCTGTATTGCAGAGAGTGTATGATTCCTGTGGAAACCGTGGCTCTGTATTGCAGAGAGTGTATGATCCCTGTGGAAACCGTGGCTCTGCATTGCAGAGAGTGTATGACTCCCTGTGGAAACCGTGGCTCTGTATTGCAGAGAGTGTATGATCCCTGTGGAAACCGTGGCTCTGTATTGCAGAGAGTGTATGATTCCTGTGGAAACCGTGGCTCTGTATTGCAGAGAGTGTATGATCCCTGTGGAAACCGTGGCTCTGCATTGCAGAGAGTGTATGATCCCTGTGGAAACCGTGGCTCTGCATTGCAGAGAGTGTATGACTCCCTGTGGAAACCGTGGCTCTGTATTGCAGAGAGTGTATGATCCCTGTGGAAACCGTGGCTCTGTATTGCAGAGAGTGTATGATTCCTGTGGAAACTGTGGCTCTGTATTGCAGAGAGTGTATGATTCCTGTGGAAACCGTGGCTCTGTATTGCAGAGAGTGTATGATTCCTGTGGAAACCGTGGCTCTGTATTGCAGAGAGTGTATGATTCCTGTGGAAACCGTGGCTCTGTATTGCAGAGAGTGTATGATCCCTGTGGAAACCGTGGCTCTGTATTGCAGAGAGTGTATGATCCCTGTGGAAACTGTGGCTCTGTATTGCAGAGAGTGTATGACTCTGTATTGCAGAGAGTGTATGACTCCTGTGCAGTCATCACAGTGAAATTTTGTGGTAGTCCCTGCACAGCCCGAGTTATTGGAAACCAGAATGGCATGGCTAACACCGAAATTGTTAAACACCCCCTCCCCACCCAGATTCAGATTTAAATGCCATATACTTCTTAGAACTGTGCTTCCAAGGGCTGGAGAGATGGCTTGGTAGTTAAGAGCACTGGCTGCTCGTCTAGAGGTCCTGAGTTCAGTTCTCAGTAACCACATACTTGCTCACAACCATCTGTAAAGAGATCTTATGCCTTCTTCTGGTGTGCAGGCATACATAATAAATAGATTAATCTTACAAAACCGAACTCTGCTTCCAGTCTTCAGAATGTATTTTAGAATTTTCCAATAATGATGAGTAAGTATAGTTTGAATGTCCTCAATATAAGCACTTCTTCAATCTTTGAGTATAGATTTTTACTTTAAAAATACTTGAAAAGTGTTTATAGCCATATCAATTCATCATTGAGATTTGTATAAAGGTTTTGATGCACAAAATGGGGACACCATTAAAGGGAAATTATTCTTAAAATTTCAAAACTGGCTCTGAGGGTCACTCTAAAAAAATTTTGGAAAGTGATTGAATTATATAATAGAAATGGAAACATTATGTAGCAAATTAGACATATGTTGCATAAGTATTCTGTATGATTATTACAAATTAAATGTCATTTTAAAGTTCTCACTGCTTACTGAGAAAGTAATATAAAAATTTGGAAATATTTTCATCCTGTGTTCTTAAACAATTATGCCTTTAATATTCTTACCATTTGATGTGTTAATTAGTTAAAATTGTATAAAAAGAGTTTCATAGATGGGTATGAATTGAAACCAGGCATGTTCATGAGTTTGACTTATTTTTTACTTTCATGTATTTGAAAATGAAGTTAGAACTCAATAGTAAACATTATTTTTTAATGAATCACATACACCTATACATGAAAGTAATTTATATATCATTTTTATTGCACCCGTGTTTTACCTGTAAGAAGTCATATGAGGTGAGGTAGGAAATTTTACTCTGGCCATTACATCTGGCCATGTACTCAAAAGGTTTGGATTTTATGGTATTTTGTAAATTATATTTTCCAGTTAGGAAAGGTCCACATGCATAGTAACGTTCTCCTTTGGGAGAGACTGGAATATACAGTTAACTTATATACCAGAAATTCCCAAAGAAAACCTGCAAATATGTCAAAAATATTCCTAGAATGTCTTCATAAAACAGTTGCAGATATTAAACTGTAAATGTGCATAAACATCCCTTATTTATGTTGTATATCCCTAATTTGAAAATCTAAACTCTAAATACTCTCCAATCTAAAACTTTTGTAGTGTGGGGATGATGCACAGGTATGACAGAGTGCTGTTCCGACACATGTATGATCACCACACTCATGTGACATCTCCTTGGGAACGTAAGATTTGCATCAAGTGTAAATGAATTTCAGTTCACACTCAGTCCCAACCCTGAGCTATCTCATTCTGTATATATAGATATTCAGAAATGTGAGGAAAGCTGGAATCTGAAGCAATTTCAGTCCCACGTTTCTAAGGAGGTATACTTACCAGGTACCTGCAAGATATTTGGGGATGAAATGTGTTTCGTATGAATACTGATGGTCTCGAGTGCTTGGACACACAGACAGAGGGAGGGTGTACCCTCTACTTTGTGATTAGAAATGACTCACTTTAGAAATATGTGAGTATATGCCAGAGTATTGGGTATGATGGTGAACTTCTATTTGAGGGATAGGATTTGTAGAAGCAAATATTATTTGTTAATTTTTATTTTTATAGATTTAAGTTGACTATGGGAAAACTTTCATTCAACCCCAGTGTCAAATGACATAATCTACTGTTACATTTTACCACTTTTATTGGCAAGTTAAGAGTAAAACTGAGCAGCTGCTGGGGGCTTCCCCTTCCTCTACTGCTTCCTTAGCCTTTCAGCCTCTCACCTGGCTGATGTCCTCGTCACTCCTGCTGTTCCTGTGTGGAGCTTGTCTTGCTGAACTTGTTTTCTCTTTTTCTTCAAGAACTCCTCCTGTAAAAAAGTCTCCTTTGCTTCCTACTCTGCTTTTCTGTAGAGTACAGATTACTTAGAAGATTATAAATACTAATGATCGGGTGGATGGCTTTCAGTTAGGAGAACAACATGGAACGAGGGAGAAAGGTCTAGGTAATTTGTTTATGAGACACATGCCGCAATATAGAAAAATTACAGAGTTACATGGTGTATAATATGTGGGATGGGAGAGAGACAGACAGAGACAGAGAGAGAGGGAGGGAGGAGGGAGTGGTAGAGAGAGGGGGAAGAGATTCATTGCTGGAAAAATTATTCAGATAGTAAGTATAAGAAGAGATGACCCTGTCTTCCTCACTTCTTTTCCTAGCAAAAATGTCCATGATGTGTGCCAAGCAGGGGTTTTATTTGTTTTAGTTTTTTTTTTAATTTTTATCTCCCATAGGAATTTAAAGCTAAAATTAGCTGAAGAATTCCAGAATTGAGAGTGAACTTTGAGCTGAGATTGGAGGCATTTTGAGCAGCATGGTCTATTGTTTGTTTTATGCAGTGCTGTGATACAACCCAAGGCTTTGTGCATTGGATGACATCCTACCGAGCGGGACTCTTGGGGTAGTGCTAGAGGAATGGTGGGCCCAGAAGTTGAGCACAAGGGGGAATTCATTGGGTCCCAGGATTGAAAGTCACCATTGGAGAAATAGTGCTTTTTCCCGAGTTAATGTGCTTATTTTTAACTGGCTTCATAGGTACATCTGTTTTAATGTAAAGGCAAGAACCGTAATTAGCTATATTATCGATGTAATTATATTTGGAATTTTATTAAAATTGTTTTATGGGATCATAAAATATAGGCAAGGGAAAATAATAAATAGTTTTGAATGAATTCTATACTTTAACTTTTCCTACGGGAGTGAATTATGTTGTATCAAAGGTCAAGCTTAAGGGCTGGGGAAGTGCCTCCTGGAAACAGTGCTTGCATGGCAGCCTGTAATGCGATCTTAGGAGCAAAGATGGGATTCCTGCAGCAAGCTAAGGAGCCAGACTAGACAGATTCTTTGACGTGTTGTCATTTCTCAGCCTTCATTTAATGTAAGGATTCTCAACCTGTGGGTCACAACACTTTGGAGGTGGGGGGTGTCACAAATCAGCAATCATGCATATCAGATATTTGCATCACGATTCATAACAGTAGCAAAATTACAATTATGAAGTAGCAATAAAAACAATTTAATGGTTGGGGTCACCACAACATAAGGAATTATATGAAAAGCGTCACAGCATTAGAAAGTTGAGAACCATTGATTTAAAGGAAAGATGTGGGAAACAGGCACTCGGTCATTTAGTTGTAAGACATTTGGCTCACACTGCAATGGACAAAAGTTAGTTATATTGTACTGTGCAATTAGAAAAGTCAGAAATGGGCTCTTTATTCAAAGTACTCATCCAAAATTCTACCAATGAAAGAGGTCAGAGCAAATAGCGTGTGATAAGTAGCTTTACTAAAGATATATTTAAGACATGATAACATACAACTGAAGCTGTAATTTTAAAATTAACATATTACTGTCTATGAAACAAGACAAAAATTCTAAGATTTAAAAATAGCATGCTATTTCTTTTGTTTTTACTGTTCTGGAGATTGAGGCAAGGGTCTTGTGTGTGCTAGGCAGGCACTCAGCTCCACCGCAGGAAACATGCACCCTTTTAAACAGTCTAAATTACAGACTACTGCAGATATCCTCTGTCATTTCTGAATGTGTGCACACACATATTTTGCCAAGGAGGAGATAGTGACCAGGATGATAAATGGAGCATGTGATGTTTAATCACTGACATAATATTTTCAACTTGAAGTCTTCATGATATTCTTGAAAACAACATCTATGAGTTCATAAAACCTCCACACGCAACCATTTCTTTCCTTAATCTACTGAAAAGTATTTTATCTTGATGATATTCCAAAAATTTGGCCCATATCCAAATGAGAAAACATTCTAAATGAATGGGCTCTGTAGTAATGAGAATTTGCTTCATGCAAATGTTTTCTAAAAATAAACCGATGAGTAAAAGCTATTGTTTGTCTTCTCTGTGCGATTCATTCCTGAATCTGCAAATGTTGTTTTAATAAGGAACAGAAACCCGTCAGTACATCAGAATACCTCAGTCATTATATTGATTGCTCCTACTACCTTTGCCCCAGGGAAAGCAAGCCACGGCCATGTAAAGAAATACAGTCCCCTGGGAGAGCTGTGTCTTTTGTGGATATTTGTCTTACATCTCCTCCTTTCTCTTTGGGGCTTTCTCAGAACCCCCTCTTTACTAGAAGGGTTGGGGGTTGTCATTTACATTGGCTTAGTATTTAGGGGGAACTTTGTAAGTCCTTGGTTTCAGCAAGAACTCAGGGCTTTTGGAAGATAGTTTGCTCCTGAGAAGGAGGTCTAGTCCAGAGGCCAGGCAGCTCTGCAGGGTGCTTCTGATTGGTACTCAGTTCTTAGCTAACAGTTCTTCTCACTGCGTTAAGGGATGAACTCATTGCATTAAGGTTTTATTGCAAGGTCTTGGAAATAACTCACTTAGTGAAGTGCTTGCTGTTCATGCCTGAAGAACTGGGTTCAGGTGAGTTCAGGTCCCCTTCACCCACCTGAAAAACCAGGCTCAGCAGCACGTGACTGCAATCTCAGGTCAGAGTTTATCTTCCCACTGTTGGTTCTTCAAGCCCTGGTTTGTAGTTCCGGTTTGTAGTTCCCAGGACGCACACTGAGGTTGTCTCCTGGCCGATGTACTGATTCTTAACTCTTAGGTTATCTGTCATTTACCTCAAGGGACATTTTATGACCTTCCATGCTATGAGACCCAATGGTACTGTGTGGGTGGCATCGAGTTGCTTTGGGACTGATCCATTTTGGTAATCATGCCAGGTTGCCCGTTGTCTTCCTCTGCTGTGGGACACAGGCTTGCTCTTTAGAATGAAATGAAGCTCAAATTCCCTCCACTCTGAAATCCCAAAGTCTCAAAAACTGACAGCTAGGGCTGAATAAATGTAATTTTACCTTTTTCTAAAGTGAAGAATTATTGTTATATGTGCAACATCTAATTATAGCAAAACTACTACTTAAATTACTTACAAAACTAGCTACTTATAATAATCTTCTTGGGATATCTGCAGCATTTCCTGGAATACTGTATTATAATTTCCAAAATGTTTCTTTGGAAATTCTGTTAAAAATTGTAAGAGTTAAAAACGACAACTTAGATTATTATCACAACAAAGCTTGGTCTTAAAATGTAACAATGAAAGCCATTCACTACAGTTAAGATTCTGAGCGAGAAAAATGTGCAGGTGAGTTTTCTTTCTGTCCAGGCCGTGTCAGGCCTGGCCAGCAGAGAATGTGCATTCTGAAGCACTGAAGTATCTTAGTGTGTCATGACATAGATCATCTTGTTGGGTTCTCTCTCTGCTCTACATTCTTTCTAGTCCAAAGACAGAAGCCGGTATCACATAGCATGTGAGGCATCGGCATGACTCTACTGTAGCTCTGTCTAGTTCCGACAACCCGCACTGTTTACTATACACTGATTCTTCCTTCAACAGCGAAAACCAGATAAATGACCGTGAAGACAATCATTCAAACTTTCAGGAAAAGGGAAAAAAATCAAAAAGCAAAGGTCCTTAGACCATGCTTCAAATAATGACAAATTAACATGTTAAGATTATAGATATAGATTATGTTAGCGATGGGAAACTGAATGTACTTATGTTATGAATAGATATCATGCCATCGTAAATCTCTATGTAAAATATTCTAACCTGAAAACTATTTTCTCCATCTATATTGGGAAACTTTCATGAGATTTCCCAATATCTCTGATAATGAATACTATCATGTTTTTTAAAACCATAAAGCTGAAGATAGTTCTTTCAGTGGGTGATTTTATAATATTGATTCACTTTCATTGACGAAGAGAGTATTCCAATTATCATTTTCTATGTAAAATAGTATACTCAGCTATTTACACTGGCTTCCTTAACTTCATACACTTCAGTGTTATGAAGCAGATTTTGGTTTTATTTCTTGTGTTATCCAGCTTTCTATTACTATATGAAATACTCAAAGTAATTAACTGAAACAGTTTATTTTGACTTAGGAGGGATTCTGATCCATGAGTGACTGGCCTCATAGCTTTGGCCTGTGACAGGTGAGCACATCATGGTTGCAGAGGGTCACAGAGTGAAAGTGTTGACCTCATGGCCAGGAAGCAAAAGAGCAAAGTAGAGAGGATACTGGTGACCCCGCTTTTCCTCAAGAGCATTTCCCCAAAGCTCTAAAAAGCTTCCAATAGGTCCTACCCCTATAAAAGTTCCAGTATCTCCAAAAAGTATCACTTTAACACATGAGCAATTGGAGAACAGCTACTATTCAAACTATAGTATTTCTTAAGTATTTAAAAAAATACCAGAAAGAAAATTATATACATGTGAAAGAAATGAATTTGCAATCTATTCATTCTTGAAGACACCTAGTGACGTGTCTGGTACATGCTGAGACTTAGTAAATGTATGTCTGAATCCATCTCCAGTAATTGTGCAGTGCATTTTATACCCCCTGTACCACAGGAAAGATACATCAGTACATTTCACATCAATTAGCCCCATTGTTCTTACTGCAGAACTAACTGTCCTGGATCAATTAAAATGATGTTGAGGTTTATCTATTTGTAAACTTGAATCAATTGATCAATTCAAGTATTGATTTTCTAGAATCTCATTTTAGTCCAAAATAAAAGAGGTTCATGTTGGACGGAAATCTTCAAGGATAGCCGGGGTGTTTAAGACAGGACACGATAATCCATCCTAGGAAAAGCATAAGCCATCTGGTGATATGCAGGAGACCTGGGTGAAACCAATTATGAGGTTTTTTTAACCACAAAACTAATGTTCCTGGAATGTTTTGAATGAAAATCTGCAAGGTCAGTGTTCAAAAGACTTCAGAGTTTTCATAAGTTGATTATTTTAATAGCACATGGTGATTTAAATCCTTAAAAATACTAGTTAGCTAGCAATGTCCTAAAATCTATAGGCACAGGCACATGGGGATGTGTTTCAATGGCCAAGTGCTTTCCTAACAGGGGTATCCCCCTGAGATCAATCTTTAGCAATTTCCACTCCCCCAGATGTATACATAAATAAATGTGTGTGTGTGTGTGTGTGTGTGTGTGTGTGTGTGTGTCCGTCCTCATTGAAAACTCACATCTTCTTCGATGGATGAATGTCAGAGTTTGTATCCAGTTGAAGCAAGCATTTGTCGTTTAGCATCCGTGCTCAGCTGGGGCCAGGCTTTAGAGCACGGAGGGCCTAATTGATGCCAGAACAAAAGCAAGTGGAGCTGGTTCTGGTACATGCCTGGATTCACTTTCACAAGGCAATAAAAAGCTGCCAGGCCCTGGCTTTAAAGATGGTTTAGTCATGCATGTGAGCCCCATCTGCCCAGTGCATTGGGGATTTCCTTCTCAGATCAGCCCTCCAGCCAAACACAGCCGCTGCTCCTGCCCCCAGCCCTCCGGTTTCTCCTCTCCTGCTGGGAGTGGGCAGGTTTTCTGAACCAGGTGCTGCCTATGCCACTGGAGGGAAATCCTTCTGCAGACACCAGGATGAGCCAGAAATGAGGCTGGGTCTTAATTTTATATACTACATTAACTTTGGCATAGTTTATTCAGTGATTTAAATAAAAAGATACTCAAACAGAAAATACCCATATTTAATATGATAAAAATAAAACCACCATTACAAAGCTATCCACAACTTTAACATGGACTCCAGTGTGGTGGTATTGTGTTCCCCAAGATATTGTGCACTTTAATAAACTTCTCTGGGTTCAGAGACAGAACAGGCACAATATTAAACATAGAGGTTAGGCAGTGGTAGCACACACCTTTATTCCTAGCATTCCAGAGGCAGAAATCCCTCTGGATCTCTGTGAGTTCAAGGCCACATTGGAAACAGCCAGTCATGGTGACTCATGCCCTTAATCCCAGAAAGTGAGCCTTTAATCCCAGGGAGTGAGGCAGAAAGCAGAAAGGTATATAAGGCGTGAAGACCAGAAACTACAAGCTTTTGGCTGATTAAGCTTTCAGGCTTCTGAGCAGCAGTTCAGCTGAAATTCATTCTGGATGAGGACATAGAGGCTTCCAGTCTGAGGAAACAGGAGAATGGCACGAAGACCCCCATAGTCCATCTGGTTTTACCTAAGTCTCCTTTGTTCGCCATTCTTCAAATGAGGGTGACAGTTAATATCAAGTTTTGAAGTTGGACCCACAGAAAAGCCTCGACCCCCCACAGTGTACATGTGAACTGCTGGGACGTGTTTATAATTAGTGGTCTGACCTTTTATTTTTGCAAGGTAGTAGTCTTTCAGAAAATTTACATTTACTTCTGCATGTTTTTCTGATGTATATACAGACTCTAGTCACGCTGAAGAAAAAGGAGTGGGGCTTTCTAAGGCTTTGCTCTGGGCTTTAAACATGTTCTAATGGGATTCACGAGCCAAATAAACAGCCATTGCTCTTCTTTTCATTTGACACAGATTTATGAAAAATACCAAGAGCTGTATACCGTGGAGCCAAATAATGCACGCCAGCTGGTGGAAATTGCAGCCAGAGACATTGAGAAACTCCTGAGCAACCGATCTAAAGCCCTGGTGGTGAGTGAGAGCTTGTGTCTTCTCAGTCATTCCCCTGGGCTTTGGGCTATTTATGTTTCTTGCTGTGTTTGAGCTTTTTATTTGGTATACTTTTTTTTTTCTCTTAGTAACTGTGTTCAACTGATGAGTTCATGGAATCAATGTGAATCCTAAATAAACAGATAATTTTCTTCTACCTGTTGCTTTATTTTTATTATATTACCACTTTCTTTAATCAGAGACATATATTTAATGAATATATGCAAATTTATACCTATGTGAGTCATTATACATTATAATCTACTGAACACATTTTAATCTATACTGAAACATAATATCATTATTATTGCTAGTACATAAACTGTAACACTCTCCTGTTCCATAATTCCACATTCCTACCAAAGGTGTCGAATGTGCCAGATAATCAATTAACTACTTCCGACCTTTAAAAGAACTTTCTCCTCTTATACTAGCTTTGCGGTACAATTTTTAAAATTTTTCTGATTTTAAGTTGTAGTAATACATCATTCTGTATGTTGCCTTCAAGGCTTGCTTTTCTTCACCCATTTGTATAGTTTATTAGCTTCAATTTATATATAATTCCAGTTCTGCATCATCCTGATACCACTTACTAGAGGACTGAGGTCATGCATAGTACTGAACCCTAAACCAGTACCTATGAGTGTCTGTGGGCGATTGGCTCAAAGACCCCTCCAATAGGCAGAGATTCACAGTTCTTTTTGTAAAATGATAGAATATTTCCATATAACCTGCATGCATCGTTCTGAACTCTCTAAATCATCTCTAAATTAATGACAATACCTAAGACAATGCAAATGCTGCATGGGTGTTCTGCATACTCTGTTGCTTTAAGAAACAACAGTAGGGAAAAATACTGTACATGTGCTGTACTAATCCAATTTAAAAGTTACTTTCTGTCTCTGATATGGCTGATGCAGAGCCATTGATCTAATTATACTGTATTTTTCCTTTGATCAAGTTTTAGTCATAAACTGACATATGAGATTAATAACAATTAGCACTAATAAAATTACAGTAAAGTAATAAAAATTATCTCCAAATATCTTGCTTAACTGTGTGCACTCATTTTGTGATGCTCTAAGATGATGCATGCCTAAGTGATGAAATGAGGTGAATGCACTAGGCATTATGTTATTGCAGACTGTAAGAACAGTGAGACTGTCATGCTCATGTGATAACTGGGGTGGCTGATACACTGAATGACTGCAGAAAGATTGCTTATGTACTATGGGTATCCTGGCTCAACAGGATGACTCATGTTCTGGGCAATATGTAGCGAGGTTTTATTATGGTATTTAGGATGGCATGAAATTTACAATGTATGGATTACTTATTTCTCAAATTTTACTGTTAATATTTTCAGGCTATGTAGGAACGTAGGTAATGGGCACCGAGGAAAATGAAAGCATAGATAGTAAAGGATGATTATATTCACAGTCAGATACTACTTAAGAAGCATCATGGATTCAGTCCAGGATAGTAGAATTGCCAGACAAAGGTGAATTCACAAAATTACTTCATATGTTAGCTGTTTTCTCCAAACTTTTTGTCTGCTTCGTTTTCTACTTGGAATATCTAAGATCATATTAGTTCATATTCTGAACAGATGCAGCAGTGTCAGAGCTCTGAATGTTCTGCAGATAAATGGCTATAAAATGGGAGGTAGCTCTGCTAATTCCTGAAGAGAAAGTACTTGCAGTCTGAAGAGGTGTACGTTCAGTCATTGTTCTTTAGTCTCTAGTGAAATATCTATTCATATCATTTGCACACTTGTGTTCTTTTCATTTATTTATAGGTGGTCAATTCTTGGTGTTATGTGAACTAGTTAATTTTTATTTGTAGCTTTTTAATTGTCTTTATTGTGTATTTTGATAAATTCTTCATTTTAATGTAATCAAAATCAACTTTATATCACTAGTGTTTTTGAGTGTTCTGTTTGGAGAAGTTCTCCATTACTATTAAATCATATATTCTATTTAAAATATGATTAATTGTAAAGATTCCTAAATTTTGTTTTCCATATTGAAGTATTTAATACATCTGCAACAGAATTGGTATATAATTTCAGGTTTCAATTTAAATTAACCCTTTTCCAGATGCTTTTCCCATGACCATTAATTGGTTACCTCAGTCTTTTACCATATGTATTTTTAAAGAAGTACCTTCAGGCTATCAGAACTTATTTTTTTATCTTTATCTATATTTTATATTTTACCTATATTTATGTTTGTCTAAATAATATAGGTTCAGTGTGTAATTAATCTGGAAAATCTAGACTGGGATTTTGTTTTTGACATTATTATTGATGCAGAAAACTTTGAGAAGTACTTTATATCTCCATACTGTTCTCTTGGCCTTCGAATGTTTATGTACATTCGTAGGCACTTATAAATCCTTTGATTATGGTTCTTAAGGCATCTACAATCTGATCTTTTTGTAATGTAGTAAGTAGGAATGTCTACTGTTATATCTGGTTTATGAGATTTCTATTTCAATATTTATTATAATTTAAAATATTTAAAATATGCAGCAAGTTTATCCATGATAAGATAAACTTGTTAAAAGTATTATAACCTTCAATTTCCTTGGGATTAATTTTATTTTAAAACACTTAGAGATATAAATGTTTGCAACCTAAACTTTAATAGCATTAAGGTACTTCCTATTTAAGTGCTGAAGATCCTGATAATATCTGTAAGATACTGTTCAATGGAGTCATATGCATTATGTCTTAATCAGATTGACATGGGGGGACAGGGACAGCTTTTGAGACTTTTTTTTTATTTCTCATTTCTGGTTGAAGCTAAAGACACCTGATGTATTCTTTGACTTCTGTGGGGGATCGGTCATGATATTAACTGCATTATGGCAGAATACAGAAGTCATAATGACTAATTAGCATAGAGTTAGTTAGATTTTATGTCTGGGAGAAAGGTTCATGTTTGTTTTCATACTAAGTACATTATTTAACTTACTTGATTCCATAAAAATAGAAAAGATTATTTCACAGGGAAATATTTTGAAGTTAATTGAAACAAAGGTGCTATGTTATTCTGTGAATGAATGCAAGATGGCATTTTTAATTTACTTCTGTTTTTGCTGTAGGCTATAGGAAGGGAGGCATCTAGATTAAAGTAGCTTTAGTTTACCTGGGTGTTATATAATTTTATACGCAGTATAGTTGAAAAATCATGAACATGCAAATAATAGGTAGATGATAGAATTATTATCAGTTAGACTTTATTGAATGCTGATTACTAAATAGAATGAGGTAATGGTTCCTCACAGTAACACTATGGTGTAGGTAACGGTTACTAGACTCACTTTTCAATGTAGAAACTGGGTCTTTCAGGGCCCTTGAAACTTGCTCAAGGAAATATATCTAATAAGTAATATATGCAGTGCTTTCAGACTTCAATATGCACACATATCACGTATGGTTCTGGTTAAAATACAGACTTTTATTGAGTAGCCCGAGCTGGGGATACATTTCTAACAAGCGCCTGGGTGCTGCTCATGCCCTTGATGAAGCCAATTGGGCCTCAGAAGGGGAGAGGAGGCAAATCCAGGTGTTGCTGATTTTAGGCACTGCTTCCCAAACTACACAAGTCTATCCTTTATCTGCAGAAGTGTAGAACAGAGAAGGGGAGAGGACAACTAAATGCGCTTGTTGAACTTTTCGTTCTATTGTGTATGTGGAAGAGAAGAGGGGCTGTGAGTGCTCTAAAGATATGTCACAGTGGCAGCCATTTGTTTGTGTTAGTTGATTGTAGGTATCCTGTCCCTACAAATACCCTATTTAACCTTTAATGCCCACACTGACAAATTCAGCCATCTTATTTCTAAGATTTATCTGTTTTATGACTTATTTTTTTTCTAAACATTTCTTCAAAAATATCTGGAAAGCTGGATCAATATGATTGTCCTGATAATTGGATTACTTGTAACACAACCTTGGATGTTTAGGAGTAAAAGTGAAATAGCTATTTAATACTGCTATTAGCATGCACTTCAGCATGAACTAGTCTGAGATGTCTGCAGTTGTTAACAAGCCATCCATGGGAGGAAGCTTTTCAACAAAACAGTCCAATGGTGTCCCCTGAGAGATGGACATAAATGAAATCAGTGGTCTCTGCTCAACAGCTGGCTGAGTCAAGGGATCTGCTTGGGAAATAAAGATCTCTAGGCATTTTGTTAAGAGAAAATGGGATCAAAGTCAGAATAAACAAATTTTTCACTTGACATTTTTCCAATTATAACATATACTTTCTCCCTCTTGTCATCCCAGTAACTTTAATTAAAATGGCTCTAATTTATTATGAAGCTTTAAATACTGTAATTTGCTCTACTTCTTAATTTAACTGTTATTCAACACAAGAGTTGAAAATGAAAAGAGGAAAATCTTAAGTATTTTTAACTCACTATGAAATTGTTTTGTTTGACTGCTTCTGGAAGGACTAGGTTATCACCTAACTGAATAGTTTAACTATGTTTTTTAAGGTGTTAGGCTAATAGTTTTACATTTCTTACATGTTATTGTGTAATTTGTCCGGTGGAGAAGCCCTCCATCTAGGGTATCAGCAACAGTCTGTTGCAGGTCTTTGGACTGCCAGCTTCCAAATAATGACATGGAGACTTCTAAGTAATTATGAAAACTTGGCCTTAGCTTAGGCTTGTTCCCAACTACCTCTTAGAACTTAAATTAACTTGTTTATATTAATCTATGTTCTGCCAAGTAGCTTGTTAACTCTCCTCATTGAGGTACATCCGACTTCCTCTGTGTCTGGCTGGTGAATCCCCCGCCAATCAGATTCTTCATCTGAGTTCCCCTCTCTCCCTGAAAGTCCCGCCTATCCTCTCTTGCGTAGGTATTGGGCATTCAGCTCTTTTATTAAAGCAATCAGAAGGTGCCTTAGGCAGGTGAGGGAAAACAAACATCTTCACACAGTGTGATCAAATATCCTATAACAAGAGTCAGA